AAGACAGAGGCAGCATCCACAGTGGGCAGTGGCTCTGCTGTTTACGTCCAACTTAGGTGCCATGAGTTCCTCTGGCTCTGATGGGAGCACTGAGGACCTTTCCAGGAACAGCCTTATGTTTCCCAGGACCCTGGCTAGAGGACTGGATGAACTCTCATGAACCTCTATTTTCTTAACTTGCTCATTCTCAGAGCATTTATTTACATTAAACATATAATTTTGGAGGTTAGTGATGAGGTCTACGTAAAATTTCCTCAGTAGGATTCACCCATGTATAGCAAAATAGCATAAAAGTAATAAGGACCAGAAGCACTTTATCTAGCTTGGTTAGTTTCAGGTGCAGCTCTCCATGAATCCCCAAAAACCAGCTAGCCTTTCCTTACCGAGGAAATGCTCATCTGCTCTTACATCACATTCAGAAATCCTGTTTGATGCAATATTTGCTCTAACAATGTAACACAGAGGGAGGTGCTCAGTAACCTATTTCTGTAACTCACTGGTCTGGAGGAAGTGCAATCAGGTGAGAGGGGAAGAGATCTGGACACCCACTGGTCCCACCCCTATGCAGCATATGGAGGACGTAGGTCTGTCCCCTGGCTGCTCTGAGACACCTTTGTCACATGTGAAATAGATCTAAAGTCTTCCACAGAACTAGACAGTTTCTCAGATTTCTTCCACACCTAAAATGTCACAATTATGAGGGCATGCTCAAAAGAAATTCCAAATAATATTTAGTAGGCCTTCCCCATATTACCTTACATTTATGTTACATATAAATAAGACATTAACAAAACATCCACCAAGGGTCACTCATCAACAACAGTTATAGATTACATAAAAGATTTGTCAGTATTCCCAGCAAACTTATAATTAAGGCAAATATTTTATATAAACACATGCATACATACCCATAATAGATATAATGACAATGCCTGTAGACATAAATGTAGATATGTATATATTAAAGTTAACATGTGTGCAATGACAAACATAAAGAAATAATCACAAACAGAAAAATGCCGAAGTGCAAACTGGCCAAAGCACACTCTCCTTCACTAATGGCAATTATTCTTGCATTCGAGGAAATGTTCTGTTTCCGTCTATGCCACATTTCATTTATCATTTGCCTATGCACTGCGTATCAGTTCAAAGAGAATGGTATTGATGCACTTAGAAAGATACTGGAGAAATTAAACTTTCTGAATTTGATATTGGAGTATTTCATATTTGAAAAGTATTAATATTTTAGGTAATGATAATAGTATTTTGGCTACAGTTTTTAAAAAGAATCCTTATTTCTAAAAATTACACACTGAATCAATTATGGATAAAATGATGTGATCTGTTTTAGAATAATCAAGGGTGAGGAAGGGGAGAGAAAGAGGTAAGACTGCCTATGAGCTGATAAAATGAGATTGGCTATGAGGTAGTAACTGCTGAAGTGAGGGTGAATACATGGGGTATTGTTACATTATCCTTTCTGCTTTTAAATATATGTGGGATTCTCTGAAATTTAATAGTGAAAATAGCTTCTGACCTAAGTTCAAAAAACCACCCCAATTTTCCAGTTAAAAGACTCTTACGTGCTATAATTACTGAGATTTAGATTAGCAGTGTTTGCTGAGAATGACGGCGAGAACAGTTGAGCATGTTCTGAATGTCAAAAGAAAAAATCAAATATAGCCTATGAATTTAAGACATTTATGTTGTATTGTTATTAAAACTGTAAAGTTCAAAGAGTTGCAAGGAATTGTTTCTACTTCCTAATGAAAAGATGAAGTAATGAAAGTCACCTGAGGCACTGCTCCCATTTCATGTACATTCTTTCCATTATTTTCCAAGTGATGACAAGGTGCGTAACAAGCTTGCTCAGAGTAAGTGAGTTACACAAAAGCTCTTGTCACCTCGTTTTTCCAAAATGCTGATTTTAAGCGGTTTAGAGTGAATATAGATAGCAACAAATTAAGATGTCAGGAAATGAAGGATGAAGGTGTGTTTCCCTCTATCTCTGAGAAAGATTCAGACCTTTGGTGATTTAATATTGGATATCACATATTTGAGCTAAAGATATGATAAGACATATGAAATTTTCTGGAATTTTTCCAATTTCAAAGAGTCTGTATGTTGTCTTCATAAATTACACACATATTTCAGAAATTCAAACATTTTCATACAAATTATGCATTCAGATTGTTTCCATAAAGAATATGTGGTCATAACCACTTTTGCTGGAGAGCAGTGACATTTGCTGAGCACCTACAAGTGTCTGGAACGCTTCTCCACACCTATCTAGAGAACTGACTATCGTCATTTAGGTTCAACTGAAATTTCACCTTTTCTAGGAAACTTCCCTGGACTCCCTCAACCAGACTGCACCCTCTTGTCATACATTTTCATAAGATTCTCTACTCCCCACTTCCTCACACTCTTCACAATTCCAACTGAACACATACCTATGTGATTTTTTTTAGATGGTGTGACTCTCACTAGACCACAAGCTCCAGAAAGCCAACTTACACTGCACTTCCTGCTCCTGGCACAGCATCCAGCACCCTAGTGATCAGCCCTGGCCACACCTGGATCTCCTGAGCTTGAAAATGCCTACGCCTGGTCTCCATCTCCAGCGACTAGAATGTGCTTGGCATGGAGGGAGGGGTAAGGCCAGGAATTGATAACTGGTTGATAAAAAGCCCCAGTGGACTCTGGTGGGCCCTCAAGGTTGAGAGCTCCGCTGAACAGAGTAGACTCAGAAACTATTAGTTGAATGAACAGAGAAATAAATATGTAAGACTCTCTAAATATTCCAAAGACTACAGACTGTGTGTAACATTTGCTGTTTTCACTTGCTAAAAATATAAAATAGTTAACGACATTAATGAAAATGTTGACATGGCCTCAGCAAAAAGATATTTGTGTTTTCTTAAATATCAAGCATAAAAAAAACCAGAATCACAGCTGGAAATTACGCAAACCCAAGCCAACTAATTCATGACAAAACTATGCTAGAAATAAACAATGGCAACCTCTCCATTGTACTTCCTTCTATGCCAAGATGGTTCTCCTGTTACAGCCCCTCATCTTCCCAGGGACCTGATGAGGACCACTACTCCTTATGTCATCCCATTAGGGGCTCAGGCCACTGACCATGCATTTGCCAGGGTCACCACCAACAGCCTAAGTGCAATTGTAAGGACACTTCTCTTTCATCCTCTGCTTCGTCTTAGCGATTCTGCTGACCACTCCCTTCTGTGTTTCCCTCCTGCCATGACCGCCCCTTGTTTGTCTCCTTTGCAGGCTTCTCTTTTTCTACCAGCCCCTTAAACATCAGTTGTCAAGACTCTTTCCTGGGTTTGTTTCTTCTTTCATCTTCTTGGGTGAAGGCACAAGCTCTCAGGGACCACCTGTATGCCCACTATGCTCATCTCTCAGTCTCTAAATCCAACTACTTCCCTCTCTACTTACATGTCAGACAACCCCAAGTCACGCTGTCCAGACAAAGAGGTAGAATCATTTTTCTCCCCTCTGTTCCCTAACTCAATGGCACCATCACCCTAACTGGCTGCCAGTCAGCCATCTGGAAATCACTGCTCATCCCCTCCTCCTCTTCATTTGCCCATCACCCTGTCCTATCAATTCTATTTCCTAAAAGCCCCTGGAGTCCATGCTCTTCTTCACACTGCCACCACCTGCCTACCAGGCTGGATGCCTGTCTCCTTACCAGCTTCACTGCTCTGGGCTTGCTCCCTCTCAGCCATCCACCATGGGTGGCCAGTCATCCTCTTTACAAAAGTAAGTCTGACCTTGTCTTCCCCCACCCCACCAACCCCCACTTAAAGTCTGTCAACGACTTCCTGTCACACTCGGGATGAAGTCTGAACCTGTCACAGTGGCCAAGAAAGTTCGGCTCCTCACTCCACCTCCATGGTCTAAGTTGCAGCCACACAGGATTCAGAAGCCTTCTTGTGCTCAAAAGCTGTGCACATTCTCTCTTCCTGGAACAGTCTTAAATGCTTTCTTCCTCTATTTCAAGAGATGTCACTTCCTTCATATCTCAGAATGTCACTCCCCTGACGTCAAAACCCTAGTCAGAGGCTACTCCTAAGCCTCCAATGTCACACACAACTTCTGCAGTTATAGGAAGCGGCACATAATATAGCTGGCAGGTTACCTGTCTCCCCTACTATTTTGTGAGCTTGCATGAGCCAGGCCCTTGTCTGTTGTACTGACTACTGTGACTTTAGCACCTAATGGTGTCTGAAGCATAACAAACAGATATTCGATATACTCAATATTCTTCAAATGATAGTATACAAACAAAAGCCAATAAGACTGCATGCAAATTGCCCTTTGACTTCTCTCTCCCAGCTTCCCTCAGGGATCTACACCGGTAGTCCCTTTCTCAGGCTGAGCTGGCTAGTAAGCTACTTCTCATCCTTCCAGTTCTAATATGGAGGCCTTTCTGAGACATTCCCACACCAGCCATCTATAGCCTTCTTCTGAGTTACTCCCTTTTGGAACATGCTGTTTTTTTTCTTTTCATCACCTGTCCTAGTGTTTGATTTGGTTGGTTACATGTTCACCGGCTTTCCCTTCCTCTAGTAGTAATTCCGGGAGATAGTGGCTATGTCTCACTAGCACTGGGTGCAATGCCTGGTGCAGAGCAGGGCTTAACATACTCCTGACGAAACAATGCCCCAACTGACAGTTACCAAAGACCAACATCACCTCCTCAGCATCATGCTGCCTGCCCCAAAACGTCAACTGCTCCCTGATGCAAACCTCTGTCAACACTGCCCATCAACCACAAAAACAGACATGGTAAAAGAGTTGTCCCTTTTCATTAGTATAATGCTAACCAGTGGCCAAAAAATCCACAAAAGAAAACAAAAAAACAGATACAAAGAAAATTAGGTAGTCATTCCCTTCATCATTAATCATTCCCAAAATGTATTAAAATGACACGAAGGAATCACATAATATAATGGAAGAGAAATCCTTGCCTTTCAGGTCTTTCACATAGCCCTCTTTGCAATTGTGCATGAGCTGAAGGATCCACTTGTGTTGGGCTCCGATGCATTGCCAAGCAGGGTCACCCGGGGCATGAAGGTCAGACAGGTACCTGAAAAATCAAGTCCAAGGTTGAGCAAGCAGGCTTCATCACTTAGAAATGAGGCCAAAGGGAAACATTTGGATATTTTAAAATCATTACTTTTTAAAGGCTAGCTAAAACAGTATCAATTAGTCTTGTCCCCTGTCAAATAATAGTTTTTAATATTTAGTTCTCAATTAAATATATTCGAATATCTTGGCTGGGTGAGGTGGCTCCTGCCTGTAATCCCAGCACTTAGGGAAGCTGAGATGCGTGGATCACCTGAGGTCAGGAGTTTGAGACCAGCCTGGCCAACATGGTGAAACCTTGTCTCTACTAAAAATACAAAAATTAGCTGGGTGTATTGTTGTGTACCTGTAATCCCAGGTACTTAGGCCGCTGAGGCAGGAGAATCGCTTGAACCCAGGAGGCAGAAGTTGCAGTGAGCTGAGATCTCACAACTTCATTCCAACCTGGACAACAAAGAAAGATGCCATATCAAAAGAAACAAACAAACAAACAATTTTAAAAAAAAAGAGTACAGCTTTAAAAAAACTTTTCATATAATTAATAAATGATAAAACTATTAGCATTTTGTAAAAAGACAAGGACAATTTATAGTGATTCTATCTATCTGATGAGCACTTTTCTTCACATTTACATTTAGTTCACAGAGTTCTTGTGCTTAGGTCAGAGTCATATTAAACACAGGTGGGAGCCAGCAGATGTTGGACAAAAACTTTTAAAAATTCAGTTTTTAAATTCCTTTCTGATGTGAAATATGGCCACGAGATGGCAGTACGGCACTGCTTTCTAAAACAGGGTTAACTGAATTGTGAAGAGATTTGGTGACAACACTCACCTCTAAAGTCTACACTTATGACTAAGAAAATATTTCTCTAGAAAATGTAGTATAGTTCAGTGTTTTTCTTAGTTTCTAAAGTTCTTAAAATATTTCGAGTCCTTGTATATAATACACCCAAACCCATAGAGACCATTTGAATATATTTCAATTGAAAAATTTCTGTCAAATATTACGTAAGTTTGGCCTTCAGCCCTCACAAAAATATATAAATGTAGCAAACTAAATCCATTTAAATCAACTCCAAAAGCATGTCCAAATGAATTTATTGTCTTAAAACTGTTGTTAAGCCATATTCCGTCCTTTGTCTCTGGGTTAGAAGTTTTTGTTCAGCGGTAAATCGTCATCAACAGCTCCAAGCTGACCTCAAGCCAGACCTCAATCTCTCAGGGGTGCACCCATGCTTCCAGCCCATTCTACCAGGTATCTCAATCAGCAGCCAATCAGAGGAGAAACAAATCCACTTTGTAATATGTTAGCAACAAATGAAATGCTGAGAACACTGACATCACACTTATGAGCTATCCCCATGGATCCTGACCTTCCTAGCTGATGGGGAGGGTCTGGGTGCTATGGAGAGCCAAGTGTCCAGGCATCTGCGGAGGGGCCACACTCAGGCTGCCCAGAGGCGGCCGAGAGCTGCCATCTCCTCAGGATGTGTCTCTGTGCTGAGAAAGCGGCAGGTCAATCAGAAGGAAGAGCTTTCCTCAGATTAAGAAGTCACCCAGGACTCCTCCTCATAAACGAGAAGAAAGCTACAATGTAATAAGTGACATTTGGCCTGGCATAGGGGATTCATTTCAGATTCCAAAATCCAATCTGATTCTATCTCTCACACAAGGCTTTCCTCTTTTACTACCTGAATGATAAATATAATAAACAATACGTTGTGTCATTTATTCCCAAAGAACATGATTCTATGCTTTCTTGCTGGGGATGATGCATTTCAGCGTTCTCCCTTAACAGGCTTGTTCTGCCTCCCAACACCTCTGCTATGCTTTCTCCTAACACTTTCACTCCTGCAGCCCGTAGATTCAGTATTAGCAGTAAAATATAGGGATATTCTTTTAGGGACGCTGTTCCTTTTAATGTTTAAGTCATTGAATAGGAACATAGACTGTTCATTACAAGAGTTCTTTCTCCAGAATACAGCAAGAGGAATCAATAAGCTTTGCTTAGTAACCTTTAACATTATACACCTCTTTTAAATGTTGACCGTGTCCTTGCAAAACGTAGTAACAAAATATTTTTTTCCATTATCTTATTAATGGTTATTAAGGTAAAGGAGTTTATAAAAGTTTTACGAAGCAAGATAAAGTTGTTCTCTTAGAAATTCTAGACTCAGTTCAAAGTATGATAACTTGTGCCAGTCTCTTCAAATAAGTTTCTTGTTTTCTTTTGGTATGCAGCTAAAAATAAGTAGTTTCATTTCGAAGCTCTTTGTTTAGAATATGATACATGTTATTGCCATTTCTTTTAAAACTGCATATTAAGAACATTTTTTAAAAGGCTTTTTAGATTAAAAAGCAATGTAAAGAACATTAATTATAATGAACACAGGCTCAGTATTTTAAAATTTAAGAATTAAGGAAATTTTTAGTCAGATTAGGATAAGATCACACCACTATGGAAAGAAGTATGCAGAGTTTTGCTTCCTGCTGGCATTAAGACAGAATAAGGGGAGGGAGGAGAACCAGGATGGTTGAAATTAGATAGTCAATGATACTAGAAAAAATCGTGAACAATAGCAAGACAATACAGTGCTAATCTGATTTTCACTTGTACCATGCATAACTTGGACTACAAAAGAAAACTAATACATTTTTGTTCATAATAAAGCTATCTCTAGTCCTACTTGGTGTTCATAAATGTCAAAGTCCAACAGATATTTGGCCTAGTTCTCATCTTATTCTATTTCTTAGTGACTAAAAATTTAATTTAAAAAATGTAACAATTGTTCAGTGTCTTCTCAAAGCAACATAAATAAAATAATCATTAAAAAATACATAAAACTATTGTTGACTTGTTTATATTTCTGCTCTTTTGCCTTTAAGATGACAGGAGAAAAGGTAGTTAAAAGGCTATTTAAAAGAATCTTTTTTGCCACCACCACCTTTTAAAGGATATCCAGTAAGTTAAATAGTCATAACAACTACACATGAGTTACAGTAACTCACAACATAAAGAATTTGCACATTCAATAATATTTAACACATTACTGGGCAGGTTTAAAATAACAAGTGTAAACCGGTTAGAAATACACAAAGCACACACAGTGAAGGAACAGAGGGGAAAACAGCAGCCTCAGGACGTCTGACACTACCCAGCTGCGTGTCCTGGACACAACGCTCAACCTCCCTGGAACTCTGTAGCTTTCTAGGTAGAAATGAAGCAGTTGGATAACTGAAGTGTGGTTTATTTCCAGGTTTAAATTTCTAGGAGTCTGCAAACCAGGAAAATCCCCCATATACATTCTTTCTTATGGAGGCAGCTTAGAGAGAAGCAAGGGTAGGCTCTAGAGCCACACCTTGTCACTGTGTGTGCTGGGCAAGCTTAAGTGTCTTTACCTGTACAATGGGCACCACACAAGCATCCTTTCATGGCGGTGATTAGGATTAGAGTAGATATGCAGAACACATCTTGCCCAGTGCCGGAGCTTGCAACACACGTGCAGGGGTGGCAGCATGCAATCACACAGCCCTCTCTTTATCCCACCGCCAGTGCCTCTGCTTGCTTCCTCCTGGGCAATACTAGTGTGCTACCAGTGACAATGGCTCATACTCCTGCCGTACGCCTTATAGATCCTTTCCCTGTTCACAACTGCATACACAGCAGCTTTCAGGCCAAACCCTCTCTCCAAGACAGTCTTTTTTTTTTTTTTTTTTCCCAGAGACAGGATCTTGCTGTCACCCAGAGTCGAGTACAGTGGCATGATCACATCTCACTGCAGCCTCAAACCCCTGGGCTCAAGAGATCCTACTGCCTCAGTCTCCTGAGTAGCTGTGATGACAGGTGTGCATCCCCACATCTGGTTAATTTTTGATTTTTTTTGTAGAGACGAGGTTTCATTATGTTGCCCAGGCTAGTCTTAAACTCTTATAGACTCAAGCAATCCTGCCTTGGCCTCCCAAAGTGCTGGAATCACAGATGTGAGCCACCATGCCAGTTCCTGAGACATTATTTTCAAAGGTCACATGGGGACCACAGCTAAATTCATAAATACACTGTCTATCATTTTATAACCACTGAATATTCAATAAACTTCATGAATTCAAGAGGAAAACCATTAAATCTGTAAAATAACCTGTTCTGAGAACAAAGGCCATACTCAAAAAATCCCAGTAGAAAATGAAATTAATATTTTTAATACAGATATAAAAAATCTAAACTTTATATGCTTTGTCTCCAAATCCTGACATAAACTACATGTATATAAAATTTTCTGATGACATTTTATGTGCTCAGTGCTGTATTAAATCCTTAAATGTATTTCTGATTATCTTTGCAACTATCCTGAGATGCAGATTTGAGTACCAGGTCAATTTCACAGATGAAGAAACTAAAAAACAGAACTCAAGTTAGTTGCCCAAAGTCAACAGCTAGTCCTATTATGTATACCAGTTTTCTATAAGTCCTTCTCTTCATATCCTGTGACATTTACCACTCTTAACATTACTGTAATTTTTTTTTTAAAGTATGCTCACTTAGTGACTTTTATTTCTCTATCACTGACACTGAAGGCTTGGAAGTCAAACAGCTATTCAAGGCTAAAACCTTGCAGGATTTACTCTGCTGTTAAACAACAACACATTCTTGTGGCATAATGCATTTCCCATCCAGTGTGTGACAGTATTCAGCTTTAAGCCACACAAGGAGCCCCAATTTCACAAAATGTGGGTACCCAAACCATCCCACTAGGTGAGGTAACCCTTGCTCAGCAGGAGGAAGAGGTAACTAAGCAAAGAGGCTACTTTTCCTTTCTCCCAAATGGCAGAGTTTTCTTAAAAAGTAACTCAATAACTACTCCCAAGGCCATTAGTATTCAAAAGAATTTTGGTATCCTACTCCAGGTACCCCTAAATTTCTGCTATTTGTCTTCCCTTTCACCATTTCATCAATATCCTAAAGTCCCTCAAATTAGCCTTAAGGGTTACATCTAGTACCAAAGAGATATATGTGATTCCACAAAACTTTTGCAGAAGATTTACCTTATGTAACGTTTTTGGTCATGTAAGGTTGATGGTGTCTCAAGCAATTTATCCAGAAGTAATTCTCTTAAAGCTTCAATCCTTGTTTCTACTTCAGCATAATCTATTTAAAAAGAAAAGAATATGCAAGATTTACAGAATGGAAATTTAAAATCAAATTTCAGAAAGCAAAATAGTAGTTGCTTTTGTGGGGTAGAGGCTGATTAAGATAGAGGCCCCAGGGCCCTGTCTAGAATGATCAGAACACTATCTCGGGTGTAGGTTACAAGGGTGTATGCATTTGTCGCAACTCACGGACCTCTAACAGGTAACATTTCACTGCATTTTACCACAATAAAAAAAAATTTAGTTTTCTGAGTCCTTACAACTTTCATTTTTGAATTTAATAAGGCCCTGTGATATTTCTCCTGGTGGATAAGGCTTTAACCAAAGAGCATTTTAAACTTTTCTATTTTTCTGTAACGCTAGCATTAAAAATAATTTCAAAAGTTGTTGTGTTTCCTTTAAATGAGTTAGAATTCGTAAGTCTACTGGTCTCTCTGAAGACGTAAGATTAAAATGTAAGTTTCCAACTCTACAAAATATTTGTCATTGATTCTTTCCAGTAAACTAAGAGTTTTTAATAGCGTTATGACAAACAAATGGCAAAGAACGTCCTAGACTAACCTATCGTTGTAGTTTTCATTTTCACTATATATCAAACAAGAAAAGTCATACTGTTATTTTTGAAGTAATTGTTAGAAAGAGCCCCATATAAACAAAAACTAAAACTCTTATAACATTCTTTGCAGAACACATTCCACATACTTAGGAAAGTAGAAGATCTAAAAGTAATAAACAAATCTTACATTTCTTGAAAACTTGCACCTCCGTTTTCCCAAATAGTGACTTGGCCTTTTCATAATCATTAATAACCACATCATAATCACCCTTTAAAATAAAGAAACATTTTGAAAACTGGTAGTAATGCAAAATGAAGACATTTGGTTAATATAAAAAACATTTTTAAATATCTTAAAAATATATGACATCTATAACCATATGTACATAAATAAATATGGACTCTACCTTTTGAATATTCCTTTCAATATTTAGAGGAAGGTTGAAAAGAAACTTAAATCGCTGAAGCACATTGAGTGCATTTCTAGTGGAATCTGCCTTGTCTTTCCGACCTAATACTTCTTGAAACAATGTGTCCGCAGTATTACTTGCTCCTATTTTAAAGGGAGGAAAGGAGACTTAGATGAAAGCTGATTTTAATCAGAAAATGTGTAACTGGGAACTAGAAACAAAATATTAAGACTGTTATTATAGCTTTACATTAAAACTCAATAGAAGGTTTTTAAGGTTAGCTATATCAGAGATCTTCTATAGTTTGCTAAAATAAAATTTCCATTTTGCCTAAGTCTTTTCATATGTTAAGAATGGTATCCAATATAAAAACAAACATATTTACCATGGCCAAATAAATTTTCTAATGTGAACCTACATTTATTTTCGTTAATCTTCTAAATTTTGTAGCAATTGTGGGCACCTAGGTTATTTCAGAACTTCATACAATGGAGAAAAACACACAGATATCCATGTGTGTGCATACACATGTACATGAGCTAAATTCTGTGGACTCAGTATCTACATATGGGATAATAAACAAAACAAGAAAAATCATTCTCAGAAAAGTTGAACAAAAGAACTATTTAAAACTAATTCTATTTCTTGCCAGAATCATCTCTATGTAGCAAGCAAAGAAAATTACATAAGCAATTTACAAATAATAAACGTCAAGGCACCATCATGAATATTTTTTCAATCAGCTAATTCTTATAAAAGTATACATGAACTGCATATTTCCTAAGTCTTTTTATTTTTACCTAAAAGATCCCAAACTAAATGAATCACTGTAATGAAAGAGCACCTTTATCTAAAGGAAAATTTGCTGTGTACAAAAATAGTTTTGCAACTTGTAAATTAGTTTTAATTAGTCACAACGAAAGGAGAGAAAAAAGATAAACTGTTTTCGGTTGTTTGATCACTGCTTGTAAAAAGTTTCTACATTATCTGGTCTAGTGACTATACTTTAAGCAAAGATGAAAAAATTGCCTCAGTCTCACTGGGTGGCTTGCATGCCATATTCTCTAGTGCACACTGTGGGTGGCCTGATCCTGTTAAAAGTCGTCTTTGTAACATGATTGTTTTATCTAAATAATGTTTAAATTCTGTTGAAATTTTAAAGGCCTGATATAAAAACTTTGTTTTGTCAAGATAACTGTTTGCACCACATGCTATTTAATGTAGAATGTTACATTTCTATTATAAGATGAGAAAAAATACATTACCTTCTTGCCACCAAACCATATAATGGAGTCTAAATTAATATTTGAAATCTGATTAGAGTTAAAACTTTTTTTGTCAAAGAAAATTATTTTAAAGTATTTATCATTTAAAAAATAAAAACTTCATGAATTGAGGCTCATAAATGAATAGATATGTAAAGGGGACTGAATGTTTTTGAAAGGTTAATTACTTATATGTTAGGTTTGGATGTTAAATAACCAAGCGCCATTTGAAAAAAATTTTTTACTTGTTTTTAGTATAATGAAATTTGGGGCAAAAAGTATGTGAGCTCAAATTTAGATTTTTCTCCTTTTATTTTTAAAGGGGTAAAACATTATCAACTATTAACTTTAACTCCTCTAAAAAGTATGAAAACAAGTGCAGCAAGAAAACCTACTCATAAGTAAATAAAATATAGACATATAGAAAAATTTATATGCAGAAATTAAAACTATAAAATTTCAAGTTTATGTATGCCAAAATATATGTATTTATATGTGGAGAATTTTAATTTATGCAAATACTTGAGAAATTATAAGTTATGAGATCATAATTTTTAGAGATAACATCTGTCTATACATTATTATTCTGTTGTAAATGTTATTGTATTCACAATAAAAGTTCCTAATTCTGATTATTAGATAATATATTCAGTAATAAAATACATGAGAGCAGTGAAACCAACATTTGTGCAAATAGATAAAAATCACCAGCAGCTCACAAAATGCATTTTATGTCTTTCTTCTCTAGGGCTACTAATAAGAAAATAAAACTATTAAAGAAAAGGGGTGCTCTTCATATGTGAGGCTGATGTCACAGATAATGCCACCAGAAAGGCATCAACAAAGGTCATCTCATAAAAATCCCCATGTGCTAATCCACACACATTCTCACACCAAGAACACACCCAATTTTAAGGCAGCTGGTGGGGTCTGAATATCAGTGTACAACCACAGAACAAGTCTAACTGGAGTGGATGGCCATGACTTTGGCCTCATAGGCTACAGAGCAAACCTTCATCGACATTTGCCAGCCTTGGCCACACCAAGGTCTGGAAATTGGTCCTTTCTCGTCACCCAAAGATGGTCTCCAGGGCCGGGCGCGGTGGCTCACGCCTGTAATCCCAGCACTTTGGGAGGCCGAGACGGGTGGATCACAAGGTCAAGAGATTGAGACCATCCAGGTCAACATGGTGAAACCCCGTCTCTACTAAAAATACAAAAAATTAGCTGGGCATGGTGGCGCGTGCCTGTAATCCCAGCTACTCAGGAGGCTGAGGCAGGAGTATTGCCTGAGCCCAGGAGGCGGAGGTTGCGGTGAGCCGAGATTGCGCCATTGCACTCCAGCCTGGGTAACAAGAGCGAAACTCCGTCTCAAAAAAAAAAAAAAAAAGGTCTCCAACACTAGTGAGTTTGGACAATGACTCTCAACTGTCTCAGTCACACAGGAACTGCAAGAACTAACAGCAATGCTGTTGCAGAAACTGTGGCTGCCGCCAGTGTAGTCGGGTCTGTAGAACAGTGTAATTTTCCTATAGTACAAGATGGGAAGGAAAGTCCAGGTGGCATTACACATCAATCAGTGGAACTCATACCTGCCCAGTGATCTCACATCCTTAACAATGGAAAAAAACATTTTTATATGTGCAGGAACTCCTGTCGTCTAGAAAACCCAATCCTGTAATTCTAATGGTGTCTTCTAATTTCAAGCATGTTCATTTAAAGTAAATATTATGCTTTCTCTTATTTCAAAGTGACCATTTGGTCCCTTCCTTGGTACTGACACTTGAGACAGATCACCGAAGTGATTTCTAATCTGTGCTCTCCTCTTGATGGGAACTGGGGAGGTCAGAGGCAGGATAGAAGTAACACCCCATCACCAGCTGCTCCACCCACCACAGCACAATTTATCCCAGGAATAAGCAAGTTTAATGAGATTAGGTAATGAAACATTAGCGCTCCTGGAAAATTAGGGTAACTCTAAAATGTACAAACTCACAGCAAAACCAGGACTACAAAAGAGACCTAACTACCTCAATTTCAACAGACCAGAAAATGACTAGATAGCTGCTGGCTATACCATAACAATGCTACATGGACAGTATCGTTAACAGTACCATCCCTGACACTCTATGTGGAGTACGCGGAACTGGAACCTGGGGGAAATGAGGAAAGAGCTGACGTCAGCACATACACCTCTCAAGAGCAACAGTCAGCATCTCTTCACATTTAAGTTGAGCTGGCAGCTTGAAACCAACCCTAATGGGAGTATTTACAACTTGGTGGCTGGGAAATGTTAATATTAGGATTAATTTTCTTTCTTTTCTTTCGTTTTTTTTGAATGCCTGTTGTGAAATATTTGCCAGGCAGCCACTAAGTAAATGTCAGTTTCTTTTCCACATCCTGGCTCTTCTCAATATTCCCTGGTGTTCTAAACCCTTAGCTTTCTTCTTTCATTTTGCACATAGTACTTGGGTTAAATCATTCAATCCTGTTCGTTCAACTACCATCTTTATGCTGGTGACTCCCAAATCTGTGTTTCAAGATGCACCTGCAAACTTAAGACCAATCTTTAAAAATATTGTCACTAGATATACAATAATGACAGCTAATAATGACATGGAGCACTGATGTTACGCTAGGGTGATCCTAAAACCGTCATGTGTGTTAATTCACCTGCACATGCTTATGTCCCTGTAAGGCAGGCACTGTTTTTACCCCCGTTTTATGTTGCAGGAAACTGAGATACAGAGGTTATTCAACTTGCCCAGTGTGATAGTGGGGACATAGTGACTGTCACACAGGCAAGATCCCTGTCAGCATGACCCTCAGGAATCTCAAATTCAGCATGCTGTAAGTTGAACTGAATGTTCTCATCTCTATGCCTCTCCTCATGCCCCAAACATGCTCCTTCATCCATCTGAGGCCAGACTTCTGGAAGTGACCAGTGACTACTTCCTGTTCCTTATATCATATATCAAACCTTCCCTACCCCTTAACCTTTCTCACCTGCCACTCGCTCTACCTTCACTAGCAGCCATGTCACTCTTACATTACTTGATTCCATTGCTACACATGTTACAGCTTACATGGCTTAGCATGACCACCGTCCACTTCTGGCTGCTCTCTCTTCTTGCCTCCGGGGTACTCCCTTCTCATCCATTCTCTCTACAGATGGCAGATAGCTCTTTAAAAATCTCCCATCGTTCCTTATTTAAACTCCTTCAATGGCTCACTATTTGTCTCCAGGATAAAGACAGATTCTACACTACCACACAGCAATTTGGTCATAGGCAGATCCCGTCTACCTGCGGTCACGCGTCTCCTATCTGCACACAGCCACACTGGCCCCTGCTTCCTGGGCGGCAGCCCATCTCCTCTCAGGACTCAGTGCTTCCCTGTCACACGCTGGCCCTGGTGGGACGCACCTGCATCCCTCCACTCAGCTGCCCACTGCCAACCTCTGCTTGTCTACTTACTGCTCCTCTCTTAGGGCTCCTGGAGCCCTCCCATGGTATTCTCTGCACTCAACTTTTTGGCTTGCTGCCCCTTTTGTGGGCTCTAGCCACACCTGAGTACTCCCACCAGAGCAGTATTATCACACCATCATTTGATCACCTGAATATGTGTCTGCATTTTGATTCGGTTGTAATCTCTAGAAGTAAAGTACAAATTTTATTTTTATAACCCTAGGATAAAACAAACATGTGCTCAATAAACGTTTACAGAGGAAGGCCTAAAAATTGCTCTCTGAATCAATGATCAGTATTCTTACCACTAAGAGAGGTAGTACAACACCCCATGGGCAGGCCTTGCTTTGCACAGCATGCAAGACTGTGATAATGGCTGTGCAAGCTAAAACCCAGCATGACGATCTAATAATCAATGGGAAAATTACATTTGTTCTGTGATACCCAAAAATTCTGTTGAAACATTAAAAACTTATTTACTGTTGGTTATGAATGAATAACAATATTTTTAAAGTATAACTAATATGTAATATATAATTTAAAACATCAGAAACAAAAAACATCAGAAACATTTAAAATTAATGTGTTATATTTCTAAACTTATCAGTAGTGCTTACCTTATTTTTTGTTGTAAAATTTACAATATGAATCAAGCTTCTTTTCTGTGCTCTGACAGATTTAACAGATTACCCTGCTTCTTTTTAAGTGTGAATCAACTTCTGACATTTTTTCCTTTCCACTGTCCACATCATGAAACATCTCTGAGGCTCTCTGAGCATTACTTCCTTTGGGACACCTCATGCTTTTCCTCACTCTTCTTCACCTATGTTGGTAAGCTCCCCTCCACCAAATTACTCGAGTCTCCAACGGCACAGGCCCACATCCCCACAGTCAGCCATTCCTTCTGTCACTCTCCACTTGTTGGATTTGCATTTCACTTCCAGTGTGAGAGCTTTTCAATTTTTGATACACGTTCATCCTTATTGGCCAGTCCCTTCCCTATCATCCATTTTTGTAAAACGTCAGTAGGGTTTATCACTGGGAGATAAGGAGGCAGCACAACTGCATGATTTTCTGTCTGCTGATAGCTGGTAACAGATGCACAGTGACCGTCTCTGGTGGCCTTGAAGGAGGCAGTGTGGCTGCTCATCTAGAGCATCTGTCATTTACACAGTGTCCTGTGAATGAAAGAGCTGGAGGGAAACTGTGCTTTATGCAGCTGTGGTGAGTGCCTGTGGGAACTATAGTCCTGTGTGGTGTTGCTAGGGGACAGCTGTTATGAACTGAACCACAGTGACTGAAACCTGTGCCTATCAAAACCACATACACAGCACGGCCTGCCTGCAGTTCAAAGCAAAGTCTGGAGCCAGACTTCTGGATATAAATTGCAGCTCTGCTACTTACTATTCACATAACCTTAACGTGGCTCAATTCATCTTCTGGGTTTTAGTTTTTTCATCAATAAAAATGAAGATAATAGCACAAACCTTAAAGGGTTGTTTTGAGGACTAAATATTACCTAGATTGTTTCGAGCAACACTTGCTCTGTCTAATATAGTAACTACTAGCCACACCAGACTATTTCAATTTAAAATTGGATTAATTAAAATTAAATAAAAATTTAAAATTCATTTTTTCAGCTGTATTAGTCACATTGGAAGTGCTCGGTAGCTACATTTTCATCATCATAGAAATTCTATTGAACAGTGCTGTTCTATACACTTGAAAGAGTGTATAGAACAGAGTTGAAGATGTGAATTTGACATAAATAAACTAATAGTCATCACTGGCTTGAAATCAAGAAAAAGTTACTAAGTTCAAACACAAACATGAGAAACATGTATCATGAAAACAAAAAATAATTTCAATAAAAAGTGTCAAAAATGGATAAACTCTGAATAAATGACCTAAGTTTCTTGCAGCCAACAGTACCCTTTTGACATTTAGCTTAATAGTCAGAAAAACTGTCCAAATGTCTTTTAAAAAAATTATCTTTTAAAAAAACTAAATACCCATATACATTAGTATATAGTTATACACAAGGTAAAAAGCATTAGTAAGAGTCAAAGTGAACTAAATTACACTCGAACTCATTTATTCTTCATTTCCTTTCTAAAATAAATGAAATTTTCAACAGAGTGGACTGAATTTTCCTGACTCTAATTCTGTGTATTCACTCGTTCCTCAGTAGTGAAGTCCCGGGTAACTACAGACCCGCCTGGGCAGGCCTCTCTCAGGGCCAGAGCTGCATCCCCCGGCTTTGTTCCCAGGCTGGCTTAGCAGAGGACTTGACACAACCAGAGTTAAATAAACATTTGTCAAGTTGACCTGAATTAGGAAAAACATATCCTAGGATAGCAAACATCAACATCATATTGTGAAAGAATGTTTCTGAAAACAAGGGAATTCTTATAAAGAAATATATTTTAGGGAAATTTTAATACCAAAAAGCCCTGACGAATGGTCTCATAAAGAAGTGACCATTTATTAAGCTGAACTTTATCCAAAACGAGGAAACTTCAATAGAAAGTTAATACGACACTTTTCTGGAAAAAATTCACGGTTATAAAGGAATATATGGAAAAAGTCAATTTTTAATACCCCATGTCCCAAAGGACAATTTCTCAAACTACTTCTTTAAAGAAAAAAAAAATCACATTACCACACTACACTCTATGCTAAGCCTAACATATGAAGCAGACCCTAGAATTTCCCAGACCTGAACAAGGATCTCTTTTACTGATACCATGATATATACCATGTCAACGGTTTCTACAAGCCACCTTTAAAAATTACTGAAGTAACTGTGTTTTTCTGTACAGAGATCATAGTCTGATAATTTCTCCAGGGCAAATAACATCCTTGAGTAGAAACTATCTTTCCCTTCCAAGACCTTAAAATGTGACTAAGATAATACAGAAACAGCTTCAATAAGTATGAGTGGAATTAAGAATATCTTCATTTTAACAAAATTGGTGACTTGGTTCTCAAAGATAAAAACAAGGGAAAATCTCAAGGCAATTAAGGAATAATAATCAGAGGAAAAAAATTAAGTGCTGTTAAATTCCTAAGTTTAGAATGAAATCCAAGTACTCAAATTCTACTACCAAGAGAGCAATTCTTTCTAGAAAATGCTTTCTTTTAGGGATTATTCAGGTCTGTGAAACAATATTCACATAAAGGCTCAGAACTTTCCTCCCATGGGACTAACTTAAGCTGGAAGTGCAAAACTAGCTTTATATGGCAGCCCTACATTCACAGAATCTTTAAAGATCTGGTGTGAGGTTTCTTCATTTTTCCAATTATTCTTAACTCTACTTCATGATGAAATTGTATGTTATATTTAAAAATAAGGAGATTCCTATGGGCATTCATATCAATCATAAACTACAGGTGTGAAAAGAGGATGATTCATTTTTAAGCCACTAATATCATAGTAAGAATTAATTCATCTGACAAATTTATTCCAAATCAATAGAAGTAGCAGCTGGGAACTGGAATGTCAGAAAAAAGACAGACAAGGGAGGTGGACAGGACTCAAAACTTTGCACATGTCCATTTTCCCTGGGCCTATAATTTTTATAAAATATCTTAGATTTAGACATATTCTTAAATAGCCAGCTGCCTTAATTTTTTTTTTTGGAAAAAGGCAAGGTATATACAAATAATGACACCTAGGAACCTGTTATTCTCCTGGAAGAGGTTATTTGCGTTAACACTGAGCGACACCTGATGACGGCTCCTCCAGGTCTCCAGTCAACGACAATCCTGCCTACTGCTTCAGTGCTTTCTTAGCTTTTAAGATGCTGTTTATATGCTGGTTGGTTTTATGGTAGCAAACTTTATTTCTTAAGAAATATATTGGATTGTTTCAAATTGTGATTTCTCATAAATAAAATGCAAGCAGAAAGAGAATATTCATTTTCAATGTATCTATTCCCCTTTGTGTTCATTAAATCATTACTATTTAGAAATAAATACTACAATGCAACTTACTGCCTTGTCCCGTGATATGAGGTCCAAGAATTATTTTAAAGCATGTCGTAAAGTCCACAAATAGTTCTGGGTAGTAGGACAAAACTTACTGTTCAGAACATTCTCCAGTTTCTGCGTCATGGATCCTTCTACTTTTTCCGTTCCATCTGCTTCTAGTTTTTGATGGATGGCTAGAAAAAAAAAACCGAGTTAAAATGTAGGCCATTTTAGGGTGGAGATACATTATATCACAATGACATTTTTAAACAGCTTTTTAAAATGTTCGTATTATTTTCACTGCTGAAAAGGAACAAAAAACATGCTACCCCGTACAAGGTACGCAGCAGACACCAGTCTTAATTTATTCAGTTTAACACCATTAAAATAGTAACTAACAGCCAGCCAGGCACAGTGGCACAAGCCTGTAATCCCAGAACTTTGAGAGGCAATGGTGGGCAGATCACAAAATCAATAGGAATACTTTTATACTGTTGGTGGGAGTGTAAATTAGTTCAACCTTTGTGGAAGACAGTGTGGCGATTCCTCAAGGACCTACACATAGAAATTCCATTTGACCCAGCAATCCCATTACTGGCTACTATAACCAAAGGATTACAAATCATTCTACTATAAGGACACATGCACACGAATGTTCACTGCAGCACTGTTTACAATAGCAAAGACTTGGAACCAACCCAAATGCCCGTTGATGATAAACTGGACAGGGAAAATGTGGCACATATATACCATGGAATACTATGCAGCCATAAAAAACAATGAGTTCATATCTTTTGTAGGGACATGGATGAACCTGGAAACCATCAACTGGACAGGGAAAATGTGGCACATATATACCATGGAATACTATGCAGCCATAAAAAACAATGAGTTCATGTCCTTTGTAGGGACATGGATGAACCTGGAAACCATCATTCTCAGCAAACTGACACAAGAACAGAAAATCAAACACCGCATGTTCTCACTCATAGGTGGGTGTTGAACAATGAGAATACATGGACACAGGGAGGGGAGCACTACACACTGGGGTTTGTTGGGGCAAAATAGGGGAGGGACAGAGCGGAGTGGGGAGTTGGGCAAAGATAGCATGGGGAGAAATGCCAGATATATGTGATGGGGAGGAAGGCAGCAAATCACACTGCCATGCGTGTACCTATGCAGCAATCTTGCATGTTCTTCCCATGTACCCCAAAACCAAATGCAATAATAAAAAAAGAGAGAGAGAGAATGAGACTATCCTGGCTAACATGGTAAAACCCCATCTCTACTAAAAATACAAAAATGAGCTAGGCATGGTGGTGCGTACCTGTACTCCCAGCAACTTGGGAGGCTGAGGCAGGAGAATAACCTAAACTCAGGAGGCAGAGGTTGCAGTGCACCAAGATCGTGCCACTGCACTCTAGCCTGGCAACAGAGCAAGACTCCATCTCAAAAAAAAAAAAAAAGGTACCTAACACACATAATCATCTGTCTTCAAGACTGTGAAAACAGTTGAATTGAAAAAGAAAAGGGAGAACTGAGGCGTCCTGGGTCTCATTACCATTGGCTGAGTGTCTACAATCTGAAAATCCCACATGCTCCAAAATCTGAAACTTGAAGCACCCACATGACATTGAAAGGAAATGTTCATTAGAGCACTTCATATTTCCGATGTTTAGATTTGGGATGCTCAACCAGTAACTATGTAATGCAAATATTTAAAAATCCGCAAAAGTCTGAAATCTGAAACACTGCTGGGTCCCAAGCATTTCAGATAATTGGCCAGAAAATTCTGAGTAAATTTGGTATTCAAATGCACTATGAATAGATCCTCAATGCCTGCTAATGTTTATCTCTCTGCTCCTTTTAATTGGTTATTTATGATCTTGTTATTTTTTATCTTTTTTTTATTTCAGTAAGCCACCTCAAATTTTCTTTGAAATTCTAAAATAAACAGACTGCTCCTCTATCAAAAAAATACATTCAGAGAAAGAAAAAGAAATATATTTGAGAAGAAAAAAAACCTAGCTACTGTAGTTTGTCTTGATTGACTCAGAGTGAAGAGAAAGTAATTTCTGCAATGTTTCAAAATGAATTGTGTGGTAACAGTGACATAAAATGTTTCTATACACCAAAGCTGAAACTTGGGTTCAACCTACTAAACGAAACAGAAAGGAACATCCTTCCCTAGCAAGGAATCTTTGTAGTACTTATGCCTAAGTATTATAAAGATCAACTGGAGAGAGTTCTATGGTATATGTTAGCAGGTATGCTCTCCCTCCTTGTTTAAATGCCGCTGTGATGTTCTGACTGTTCTGGTGGAGAAGGATGCCTGGCACACGCTGCAGCTTCACTGAGCAGGCACTGTGCTGAGATGTCACACCCTATAGTAGCCCTGCTCCACATGTTGCTTTCCAAGTCACAATTAGCATGAAAGGAAATCATGCAGCCACATTTTCTGATGTTGACAAAACCCATCACTGATGAGCAGGTCAAGATGAGGTGACCCTGGTCCCCCAGTTCAGTTTACAGCCCTTTTTGTGACAGAGCAACTACCTCCACCCATCGCCACCACGGCAACACCAACTGTCAAGCTGTCAGCCAAGCATGAGGACTGAGAGACACTGGGATCTGATAAAGGCAATCCTATTTTCCAGAAAATTAAACCAAATAACCCAATGTCTGGTTCACTTGACCTTTTATTTTCTCTGAAAACATTTTTGAGTAGAATAACTCAATAAGCAACTTGGTACATGATCACAGGTTTGTTATTGTTTCTAATCTATTAAAACTTAAATATGTGAAGCAGTAGAACATTACAAGTTTGTATCTGAGAAACAAAAAACATATGTATAATAGTACTTCTTAAAGAAAAATCAAAGTTATACAAAGATTGCCTATTAGTTCACTATAATTATTTGATCATTTTAATGCTTAAATAAAATGTAGATGTCAAATTTGCAATTTCAATAAAAAATATGTAATACCCATCCAAGCATTTATGTAAATGCCATTGTTAAACAGGGCACCAAGGAATGATATTTGCATAGGGCATTATCTAAAGCATCCAGTGTTGGGCAGAGAAGCATATAAATACTCTAACCATTCTATGTTAATGCTAGCCTATGCAAAACAGGAATATTTAAGCCAGATCACAGATGAGCAAACTATTGCTATGAGGAACCAAACAGTAAATACTTTAGGCTTTGTGGGCCACATATGGACTTTATCACATATTCTTCTTCTTTTGTTGTTTTTAGAAACCCTGAGAAAACACAGTCATGCTTAGCTCCTGGCCTGTAGGAAGGCTGTGGCCTAATTTGGCTCACAGCCTGACCTCTGAAGAGGGTTATATTTATTAAAGCAGGATAAAATGAAGGGTTTGTGTAAGATGCATTAGTATTTTAAGTTGAAAAAGAGCCCTTCAAACATTTAGTTTCTATTTCTTATTTTACCAAACTTTTGTCAGAATAGATAAATCATATATAAATTATACCCAAATTGGCTAAGTAATCTGTGATTCCTTTTCTTCCCAAATTATACTGAAGAAAATCAATAAATAATAAAATAATTGCAACTATTACACAGAAGACCAACAGGAATGATTCTCACTTAGATAACTGAGTCCCAGAAAACAATACCTACCTGAATTATCTTCATATATAGACACTAATGACAGAATGTGTCAAAAAATCAATTATGGCTCAAGCCACCAATAGTAAGTAGCAGCAATGAAAGGAACAGGGGAAAGAAGACAAAGAAGACAGTGCAGGGAGCAACATGTGTAATTTATTCTGCTTGGGCTTTTTACTCTAGTGTAACATAAACAATATTCATTCATACAGTCCTGACCCACAGTTGTTCTTGAAAGGAGCAAGTGATAAAGTCTATGCCACTAAAAACAAGAGACTGTACAGGTCACTAAATGCACAAGCTCAAGGGGTATTCAGAGAAATTGCCACAAAGGAGGTGCTCAGAGGCACTGAGGGGCTCACGAAGGCCTTTCACGCTACAAGGAGCTCCACAAACCTCACCACCACCCAGGAGGACCAGTGTGAGCAGTATCTGCTAACAACCCACAGGTCAATAACACACTTCAAGGGCACAGAAGGGAATGACAGAGGGAAGGCCATGGAAAAATGAAGTCTGGCGCTAGAAATATTTTTGCAGAATAAATAAAAACACTGTACTAAACATACAAAGGTTGCTATTGGCAGGTGTTATACCAGACACACTTCTTACCAAGTCCTAATGAAAACACCTGTGGAGACACACAGGAAGAAACAAAACTGACAATGGCATAAAAACTTAAAGTTGAATAAAGGCTATGAATGGCATACTGGGTTGAGATGGGACTGAAAAAAAAAAAAAGCAGACCTGGACTAGGTATGAAACAGTCCACTGGATGGAAGTAAAGAATGCAGATGATGTTTAAAAAAAAAAAAGAGCAGAGAAAGGCTCTGATTTGTTGTACCTGTCGCCTATTCCCAACTCTGGAACACAAGCATGGCACGGATCAGAAACACCTTCCAATGTTTCCATAACTATCTTCATGACTACAGTTCTGTTCCTCCATTTTTTTTAATCGCACAGCTCCTTTCCTCTGATAACCATTTAGAGAAAAATTTCCCCACATCCCAGCATGGTAGGGAAACAGAAGAAAACCAATGGGGAGGAGGCGTCCACTGCTGGGCCCCTGAGCAGCTGCTGAGAAACAGAAGTATGCTGGGCAGCATGCAGGGCAGCAGAAGCAAATGAGTGACATTTTTATCCAAGACCATTCAGAGATAAATCATGAATTCTATCTAATGTAAAACAAGAAAAGCTTTGAGAACTGAAGATGTGAGTCAATAGATTCTGAAGGCTCATCAAGTCTTGGCTAAAATGAATGAAAACAGAACCTATATTCCAGTATATCCTGCAAAGGTATTTTTTCTCTCAAAAAAAAAAAAAAATCCAAGGCTAAACAAATACATCTTTTAAACATTTAGGTAGAGGGAAAATGATACAATTTACTCACAAATAATGAAGGATGAAGTTGGCTCAGGATTTTATCTCTAAAACACTAAAAGTCATTGGATCAATGCCTTCAGAAAATAATTCTCTTACAGCCAAGTGTGTTCATGTATAAAGGCAAGAGGCATTTCTAGACACACAATAATTCAAAAGGTATAGCATAAAAGATGTAACATACTGTTCAAGACAAAAAATTCAAAGACAAGAAAGATTAAATATAAAACATTGGCAATAAAAATTAAAGCCAATTAAGTTTACATGTATATGTACTCTGTATATATATACACATATACAGAGTACACACACACACACATGCATATATACATACGTATATATTTATCACAGTTATATGGTAAATATGTATATATATAGTGTGTGTGTATATATATATTACATGTATATGTATTCTGTATGTGTGTATATATATATATATACTGTTGTAAATATATACATATATACATATAACTGTGGTAAATATATATATATACATACATATACATATATACATATTATATGTATACACATACACTATATATATACATATTTACCATATAACTGTGGTGAATATAAAATTAAATGCAAAAGATGAAAAAATAAATCTAAAACCAGAATACTGAAACGGAAAAAGTAAAATAAGCTGGGTCCATAATTTCAAATTTCAAATTAAATTGAGACCAAAAGAAAGGGAAAGGTATGGGAAAAAAGACATGCTAAACTGTTGTCACATATTACAGAAGTCAAGACAATCTATAATAGAATTTTAAAACATTTCTCTCATATCTGCAAATCATATGGTCTATATTGCCAAGAAGAAAAAATGGTAACAAGACAAAAGAAAAAGACATCAGGACAAAAACTTCAATTATGATAAATGTAAATGGCTTCAATCTTTCTATTTAAAAGCAAAGGCTCTCAGAATGGTATTTAAAATAAAAATCCTGCCACATGTAGCAACACAAGACACATGCCAAAAGCAAAATTTCTAAAAGGTTACAAAGAATACTACAAATAATATATCAAGCAAATGCATACAAAAGAAAAGGTATAAAATGTTAGTATTACCTTATTTTTTGCGCATCAAAGAATTTAATCTTGCCCCCAAAAAGACTTGGCCTTTGTCCCTAGGTCCCAGGAAGTAATCTCTAAACTCTTGAAATGTTCTGCCTGATAAGAGTGTCTTTGTTTGCCTGTGGGCCATGGGCCACACTAGACAGTCTAACAATGGAATTTATGGGTGAGGCCTTAGGGTCACTCAGTATCAGCCTGATCTGAGGGAATGGAGATTGAAGTCAGTTATAAAGACCCTTGACCACATCCATGTGACAGGCCCTACTAAAGACTCTGGATCCGACAACAAGGTTTGGATAGCTTCCTTGGATGGAAGGACTCCATGTGTGTTGTCACGTACTGTTACCGGGAAAGTCAGTGCTAACTGCAAGTCCACTGGGAGACTACTGGAAACTCCATGGATGGAATCTTCCTACATCTGCTCCATGAATCTCTATCCTTGGCTGACTATAATCTGCAATTTCCCTGTAATAAACCATAACTCTGAGTACAACAACTTTCACTAAGTTCTGTGAGTGCTTTTAGCGACAACCAAACTGAGGATAATCTTGGGGACTTCTTATAAATATATTATCATCAAGAGAATCTAAACCATCAAAAGTTGCAAAGTAAATACATGCATTACATACAAAGGAAAACTGACAGAATCAAAATTTAAGAAGGAGATCTGTCTGTCATGCTTAGTATAAATAAGCAGGATTTAAAGAATATAATTAATCAGGCATTGATATTATATCAAATAGTGGACCCTGAAGAAAACATGCCCGTCTGTCCTTTTTAATTTTTGGCATACTTATAAAAACTTAATATACATTAAAAAACATATTCTCTGTTCGCAATACTGTAAGAATAGACTATGAAAACAAAAATTTACTATAAACTACTGTCAAGAAGGAAAATTAAAATTGCACATTTTAAAAACACAAAAAAGATATCCCTAAAGAATGAATGTTTAAAAAATGACACAGAACATACAAATACTAAACAGATAATGAAAGGGCCCATACCATGAATTTAAAATAATTTAAAAATTATAATGCAATGCTAATAAAACATGAAAATCTTGATAAAAAAAAATTTCAGGGAAAACAAAGCAAAATAAAGCAGAGACAACAGAGGTTTGAAAAGTGTGTGTGTGTGTGTGTATGTATACACAAGTATGTATCTCTGTCTCACCTGCTGGTTCCCAATTCCCCCTTGAAGCTACTCATGCACTGCAGTGTCTCCTCAGGAGAGACCTCAGACACTAACACACTCCTGCTGCCTGGTGTAACGAAACAAGAAGCACAGTACTAGCTGTGCCTAAAAATGCTGAAAGTGAATCTAATCTAATATCCAATTAGGTAAGTCCGAGCAATATAATGGCAAGAAAAATAAGTTAAATGACACCATGAGGAAGTCATCAGGCAAATTCAGAGTGGGGGATATCTTCCAGGACAAATGACCTTGTTTCTTCAACAAATCAATGGCACAAAAAACCAGAAACAGGGTAGGAAAAGTGAGGGGATAGTTTTAGTTTAAAAGAGGTTTAAGAGATTTAAAAATTAAGTGAAATGCCTGAATTTTCTTTGAATCTTGATCTGGACATATCAACTATAAAAAAAGAAAGTTTGGGGATAACTGGAGAAATGTGAACTGGGAATGAGATATTAAAAAATTATTGCTAATTTGGTTAACTATGGTAGTATCATTATGATTATGTATATAAATGTTCTTACCCTTAGTTAGTAGATTCACACTCAAGTATTTAGGAGAAAAACATCATGCTGTTTGAGATTTGCTTTAAAATACATCAGCAAAATGCAAACAAACCCATCTCAAAAGCAAGTATAACACAAGAATAATAATAGTTAAACCCAGGTGATAGGTATATAGGAGTTGATTATACTTTCATCTCCTCTTTGAAAATTTTCACATTTTGAAAATTTTCATAATAGAAAAGCAAAAACAAATTACCTGAGTAACTTTACTTACCAGCTCTGTCAAATTTGAACCATGTAATTCCTAGTCTACATAGCCCACGGAGAGCACACAGAGCAACACACACAGAGATCCACACGTTATCACGCAACATTCACACTCGAACCTGACCAAAATAGCATTTTACTAAAATACAGATTAAGACTATAGTAAGAAACTATACCTTAGCTATTAAAAAGAATTAACTTTTGTTAATATAGATTACTTTTTACTAAATAGCAATAATTAAGCTTTTATAAATTAAAGGCAGTTTTATTAAAAAAACCCTACCAACACCTTGCATTAAAATGTCTAAATCTATGACATCTGTACTCCACACAATGTCCCTCCCATACACAGGGGATGGCACAGTGACAGCTACCTGTGTGCATGTGGGGGGGGGCAGTGCCTGTGGGATAAGGGCTGAGGAGACTGGTACCCTGTCATCAGCCTTTTCAAACTGAACACACAATGAGTCACATCTACAGAAGTAGTCACATATGTAAAATATTGATGGTTGTGAGAGGATTTTTGAAATCCTCAAATTTACTCATTGGGATTTAATTGCTTATCAGCCCTGAGGTATGGGCATCACAGAGAGTTAAAGTAGTCTCGCATTTCACACATGTAAGATGGGTCAACAAAACCTCAGAGATAAATTTTTCAAGTACCAAGTCTTTAAAGAGAGTCCAACTGAATCTGCAACAAATATTTATAGCACATTTTAGATCTCTACTTTGATAAAAACAGACCAAATGTCACACCCTGTAAATACCCTGCAGGCAGGGTCAGGTTTCCATGGTGGACACTGCCAGCAGATGGCTCTGAGGATCACCTTACCTGAGAGGGCATCCTGTGCTTCAAAGAATGTACTGAGACCGCCTTTCACATAGGCCAGGCTGCCCTCGCTCTTCTTGTTAGCCTGTCTCTTGAGGTTGGTGACTGCCATTTTGAGCTGCTCAAAACTGAAATGAAATTAAAAAAAAACAAACGTGTGAGACTTCTAACATGCAAAAAAGAAAAAAGAATTCCTTCAGTGGAAAACACTTAATATGCTAAACTGATGCTAAGCAGCATACAGATTAATATCATATAAAACCAGAGGAAAACAAAAAGCTTTCAAATTGTTACACAGATCTAAACCTTTTATTTATTAGGAATGCTTATATTACAACAGCTATAAAAGAGTTTTGGAGTCCTCAGTGGTGATTCCAAATATGTTAGAACACTAACACGTAAATGTATATAGATGTTTTTATAACCTATATATAATATATACAATTTACCAGATAAAGAGTTTTAAACATCCTGTACCAGATAAGAAGACATAGGTCACCCAGTGTTAGACAATATTTCAAAGGTGCAACTCCTCTGTAGATTCACTGAAGCATTGTGGAACACTAAGCAGAATGGTATATTTACCAATATCCAGGCCTCTGTCCTTAATAATAAAATGACATAAATCCTGTGGGTGAATTCACAACTTAAATAACGAGGAAGACCACAGTATCTTATCTCAATATCTCAAGCGGAGAAAAAAAAGGCAGGCCTCTGTATTTCAAGTTTTATGTCCATCTGAGCTAAGAAAATCTGGCTATAAAACTTTAAACATATTCTCGATAGACCTACACAAGAAACAGAACCCAATTCTGACCTATAAAAATAGAAATTTCACATCTGTAATGTAAAATTAGAATCATCTTCTACAATGAAAAAAATTCATCTTGGACATTTGCTTTATAAAGCAATCAGGCTAAATTTACCCTATGTATTAACATGTCAACTTTTTCTTATGTTTTCTCATAATGCTTTTCATCCTAGTAAGTAAATGAAAAATTTATATTAACGTATATTTTAACACACTGATTTAAGTTTTAAGCAATAAACCATTGATTTATCCAAACATTTTCTGCTGAATATAATTATTTTAAATCAATCTTGCAAATAAGCTACAAATCAGCTCTTTTAGAGAGTGAGCAAAATTTAATTAGAAGACATAAGGGAACCTTCAAATTGGATATATGACCTTGTCTATTTTTTTGCTAATTATAAGCCAGGTTCTTTCATGATGATAAACAACTCATCTTCCTTTGCTCTATGGTCAGCGAGGCAGTATGTTCATGTTTTACACTAGAACTTAAAATTTTTACATTATTTGAGTAGGGGGAAATCAATTCATACATGTCAGTTTAAGTCATCAGCTAAGGTGCCATAAAGTTTTAATAACCTACACCAATAATAAAATATATAGAAGATAAAATGACCGTAGGAAATAAAAGACCTCTAATCATCTCATTGTACAAATAAGGAAACAGACACCCTGAGATGTTCACAGGCTCACCCACAGACCTAAAACGGTATTACTCTATGCAGAACCAGACCTAAAATTCAAGTTACCGCGTGATCCCATTTTTAGCAATTGAGTGAAACCCTTCACAGATGACAGTCTCATATCCACTAACCTGGTGTTTGAGTGATTCTCTATAAGATACCAGGCAGCTGAAAAATTCTCACTTGTAAAATCAGCACTCATTCCATGGAACAGCATTTCTAAGTCCTTCTGGGAAAATTTACTTCTGAGGGGAAAAAACGTTCAAAACATATTTTAATGGTTATTAAGACAAAAATGTAACAAATATCACTGAGTATCCAGTGTAACATATATGAATACAAACCATTACAATGATACATATTAATAATACATTATCCAGAATATGTTTATATATATGTACAAAATCTATTTCCCACATCATGGCTGACTTTTTTTTATCATGTAAACTTTGGTTAACATAGAAAAGATAGGAAACGGGTGAAGGGGAGAAGAAAAGCAAAGCACACTGCCATGTGTGTACCTACGCAACTGTCTTGCATGCTCTGCTCATGTACCCCAAAACCTATAATCCAATAAAAAATTAAAAAAAAAAAAAAAAAAAAAAAGAAAAGATAGGAAACTAGTTGAAATACAGAAAAAATTACATCAATAAAAGAAAATGAAGTTTAAAGAGGATTAAGACATCAGGCTGAGTTGATGTTTTATTAAACCTATCAAAATATGAAATCAATTCCCATTCAACGTATAAAAATCAAAATTTGAATACAGTGAACTTTTAAAATATTAAATCACTTTGTTAAATGATTTTTGTTAAAACCTATATGAAAGTTGTTTTAAGACATACTGCCTAAGAAATCATCCAAGTAGTAATAAAACCACATCTAACCATCATGTCCATGCCTAGAATGACTTTAAGAAAAGCTTGTGATAACAACAGGCTATATACACAATCTGTAGCTCCCTCATCTTGCGTACATGTTTAAGATTGACTTCTGGATCAATTTATTTACATATTCATTCAAGCATCTACTAATCAAGCATCTACTATAGGTCAGGCTCCATGCTGGGATGCCAGAGGTGTCCACTGAGGTTCACAACCTGGCAGCCTTCGCCGGCCCCCACTGCCCCATTTGCAGGATGAAATCCAAGCATGCCCATGAATTGAAACTGCTTGTTTCTCAGGGCTCATTTCTGCCACTGGGGGCCTGAAACCTGACGCTTCAGCAGCCTCCAAGGGACTATACTGTCTTGCATGTTGGTTTCCACCATGTTGGTGTTTACTTTGTTCATCTGATTTGCTGTCCCCTCTAAGATGTGTCCCCTACCCCGATACAATGGAGAAATCCAACTCATGAGGTATAAACCAGATATGGATCATTTGATAACACAGTATCTCTTTAATATTTATGCAGAGGTGAAATGACCCCTACCCCAAAAGAATTCTTAACATGGGTAGGTCCAATGACTTTTCTACTTACTCTTCTCTGAGAGAGTCTTGCTGTCTCATCATTACAAACACAGCTCAATTAGGCAGCTTAGTCCATGATCAACACTCCAACTTCACTCAAAGATAACATTTTTTTCTTCCCTCTTCCCAGCCAAGGTAAATAGTTACTAGGGTGCTTGCTTCATTGGGGGGAAAGTGGGAGCTCTGTTTTAGAGGTTAAGGGTAGGATGGATGGAGAGATAAGAATGGAATGTCCTTTGGGGCCTGTGCCTGGTACTGTCATGGGTGGCCTTTGCTCTCTGCCTGCCAGGTATTAAAACCTACTTGAGTCTCCCTCGAGGGCTCTGGAGAACTCCTCCAGCCCTGACTCATGAATACATCATTTTTCTACTGCCACCCTTCAGCCTCGAGTGGTCTCTCAGTCTTACTGTAGGCACTCCCTGCTGGAGACTCTCCACGTTCAGCTAACCAGTCTCCTTAGGCACAACTTCCAATGGCCTAGAACTCACTCTCTCCAGCAAGTTGCTTGCTCACCTGGACATGGGGAACATCCCTAAAAACTGTCCACACAGGCTGTGTGTCTCACAGCTGCAGAAACACTGTCATCTGGCAGTCCCACTCACCAGGACTAAGTGGAGATGGTCACACATTCTGTGTCCTCCCGCTTTGTGGCCTAGCCTGGCTCTCCCCACAGAAATCTCTGCACAAATCCTCCTCGCCTCTCTACACATCCTCTCACTCTGTGGTCCCTATAAGAACAAGGAATGTGAGCTGCAAACCCAGATCTCGAGGAGTTCGTCTATCAAGCCTGCACAGTGAGATGCCATTCACTCTAGAGTCTAATGCCTACTGTGTGAGCACCTCACCCAGGACAGGGCATCCCATTCACATTCTGTAACACTGCCCTTCTTCACTATGTTCCTTTTTTAATTGGGTGGGGGAGGCCTTGCTTAGAATTATAACAGAAAAGAAGACAGATACGATTTCAGGAGGTGGCACCACTTCCACTTAGACAAAGTCAATTTTGCATCTTTTCCCACTAGCCTCACAAGTTAAAAGAGTTACAGTCTGAATCTTCCCGATACATGCGTGTGGCATTCATTAGCTTGCTGGTCATTTTCACCAGTCAGCAGTCTCTGAGAGGGAGGTGGAGAACTTAGAGTTTTTAAGTTTATTTTGGTTTGGATTCTTCATGCTGGTTCTCATACTTTACTTAGTAAGAAAATCCTTTCACCTCTGGAAGTTTTTCTCACTTTATTTATTTGTACCTCATGCCTCCAAGTTAGAGCTTTGGGGGAAATATATTGACTGAGTGGAGACTTAGGCTAAGCCACAACATGCTGAGCCCCAGCTAAGTGACCCAGAAGTGATTTCTTCTGGAGTCCTGCTCTAATCTGCAGGCAGCATCTGTCTGGCGTGCTGTGTAAGGGATCATGGGCTTTGTCTGAACTCGGCTGGAAAGAATGACATGACCAACTAGTAAAGCCTGTCATCGTGGGCGGGAGGAGTCATGGTGGCTATAAACCGTGTTTCTGTCCACCTTACTTCCATGCATTGGCATTCAATGTGGTGTCTCACAGTTCACTTGCTCAGAAAGTTAAAGTTAGCAGAATCGATATGTACTACTGATATTAACTAAATTCCTACTAATAACAGTCTTTACACATTATTTAAGTACAAGAAATCCTCATCTGGCAGGGATCAATTCCAAGTAACACAAGGACATAGCTGAGAAAAAAGAAATGAAAGAAGGCTGAGAAGTCACACTGAGCTTCTGTGTCCCTCACCCACGCCCGTGGGGCTTAACTGTGCCTTGGTGTTCCTCTGCCCGTGATCAAAGAGGGGGTTGCTAGTGTTAAGAGCTGACAATGTGAAGAAAGGATCTGTGACAAAATGGTAACAAGAAACTATAAAATGCAGACACAAAACTCAGTAATACAGCAGCTGCACACCCTGGAGAAACAGTTAAGAATACACAGTCCCCATGGCAGCTAAATCATACTCCACATTTATTTTTATTTAGCCAAAATAAAAAGTTTTTTAAAAAACAGGATGTACACAGCACATATAGAAAAGCGTTCTGTCCTAAACAGTTACAATGATTAAACTGGTGGTACTGATAGTACTGAAAAATGTAAACCAGAAGCTCAGAGCTTTCCATTTTGTATTCCATTTTTAACATTCCCCGATACTTATAAACTCTGCTAACATCTCATTTACAATGCATTACTAAATTGTTATTTTTACAAACCTAAACTGCTCTCAGTTATATCATAATATAAAGGCCTGATGTCTAGTGAGAGCTCCAAGGGAAGGGATTGTTAAGAAACTCTCTACCCCCAGGAGTGCCTCCCTCCCTCATCCTCAGAAGGAGCAGGGATGGGTCTAGCCAGTCCCTAGCAGTGGGGACCCTGGCGAGAAAGCAGTGGGTCTGGCAAGGTCCCCACTGGCCCTGCACTCCCAGCTCTTTAGCCGTGAACATCCCATGCACCACAGGATGCTAGGAGGACATGGGTGGCAGAGCCTGAGACTCAGCTTTTACGTTGGAGGGAGCAGGGAGGCCCAAGAGTCCAAGCTCCCGGAGCAAACTGCTGAGACTCGAGCCCACAATCCATCAGCACCCCTCCCAGCATATGTCGCTCCTTCAGGCCCCTCACACGGGCCACGTAGAATTTGAAAAGCACAACATCTCTTGGTCAAAATACCACCTCCCCTAAGACAGAGCTGATTATTCCAAGAGTTCTTACTGAAGACGTTAAAAGTCTTTTGTTAATGTTAACTAATTGGAAGACATGTATTGAGACTTACAGCAGAAATCAGACTTACAAGAACACAACAAACATTATTTTCAAGATGGTGAAATCCTAACACAGAGACGTCAAATAATTTTCCCCAAATCACACAATTAAGTCCAGGACTAAACCTGCCCAGACATACAGGGCCTGTTTAGAGGGGACACTGTTGGCTATGACCCGCCAATCACCCTGGGCCCTCTCTGCTGGAAGAATCCCACAGCTCACCACTTGCCCCTTAACTGGGGAGAGATCAACCACCACAAGTCAACCACGCTTGTCATATGTTCCCTGCTCTTGAGTGGGTAACCTTGTTCTGACCAGTGATGCCTGAGCAAAGTTCTATTGGAGCACATCTGGGAAAGGTCTCCATACTCTCAAGAAGAACCACCAAGAAGAGGTAGCACTTTTCTGCCTTGGAACATCATTGTGTTCAGTTTCAACCACAGGAATTGCTAAAGCCATTTGTAATTAGGAAGGAAATCTGTTTTATACTAAGAGCAACAGAACAGCCAGCAAACTCAGGCTCCTCACATCTTGGTGACATGACTAAGTTACTGACTCAACCAAACTTTGGAGGGTACTATCACTGAATATTGTATATTATGAAAAAGTAGATTGTATTTTTGTTTAAATCAAATGAGTTTTCATTTTCTCTTACTTGCAGCTGAAGGCAAACTGATTCAATATTCTATTGCAAAATAGATGCCTAAATATACTGATCTTTTATGTAAACATTTCAAAAATGTAAAACAGATGACTTGGAAAAAACAAAAACTGAACACCAATGCCAGAGTCCCTGAAGCTTCGTGGGTGACACAGGTGTAGAATTGGAGGTGGCTCATCTCAGTGTTCACAATGGGACAAAGGGGTCATAAGCAGTGGCTAAGAGCACAGGCTCTGGGTTCAATCTCAGTGTTTGTTCAATCTGCCTGTATAATCTAGAGGAATTACTCCATTATTCATGAGGCTAATGCATCACAGTATCTTCCTCTTACAAATGTT